CGCAACGTGGACTTCAATAAAATAAATTCCGTGTTAATTGGTAATCGATTAGTATCTTCTATAAAATAAGAGAGTATTATTTCTCAATGCTCGCATTCAAGAGCTCTGTCAATTATCGTCAAGAGGCGTGCACGTGAAATCGATATGAATATTGCAAGCCTTTAATTAAATAAACAAAGACATATTTCATTTTAATTTTTTGCAAGTTATTAAATGTTGTGAAAACAATAGTTCAACCACCGTGAAAAAATCCAATATCGGGTAACTTAAAGCCCATGCAAATTCGGAAAAATCTATTATAATCTGCATCGCACACTGCTGGACGCTCTTTTCATTCGATGCCTTTTGTTGGCGGATTCAATTAAGTTTACATCGGCGCCGAGGTCAGTTAATAAAAACCGAAGCCTACAAAAATTGGCACGTAAATCAAATTCAATAAAGCCGTGCACAATAGTGCGGGACAGGCATCGGAAAATGACGCCGTCAAACAATGACGCTCGATGTGCTCGCGCCTCGCGATGTATCCAAATCAAATAAATGTATTATGTATGTATATATCTACGAGTCTGCAAAACGTATGCTACGAAGCACGAACCATATTTTATAATAAGCGTTGAAGACGCTTGTTATTCGCTTCTTTTGATAATTATTCTGATCTCTTGACTAAATCATATTTCAATTTATTTCGAAATATATTCGTTCTTTCAGTCAATATTCATACAGTGTTTTTCGGGCTACCATTACATAGCCCCATATATTATTCTATATATACCAATATATATATATTGTATGTATATATATATATATATATATATATATATATATATATATATATATATATACGTAAAATATATCATACATGATAATAAATAACATAATATAAAACTACTGCTGGCGAGAAAGCCAAGTATATGAAGACATCGATTGGAAAGTCACCCTTTCACATTAAGAATTCCCGTCCACCTTTCCACGTCTCCGAATTAATCGCCCGAGAGCCGCTGTCTATTAAAGTTTCTTCTCGAGTTGTTAAGAGGCTCAACTCCCTTAAAACTCTGCAGATAATGTTAAACATTCATTTAAGTGGGGCTTCTAACTTTCGAATTGTCGTATAAATCTTCTAATTCTTCGGGCGTTTAATATTCATATCACATTCTTCGGCGCAGTTAGTAAGCTCAAATCTGATATCTTAGATTTCGACAACTAAAACAAAAACTAAAATTTTCCCATGATCTACATATCTAAAACTAATATGAACTTTTACCTCTTTTAAGGGTTTATTTCAACTGCTGAGTATTATTCATATTATATAAAAAATACAAGAAAAAAATGTACTTCCTATACGCAAGTATTCAAATAATTTCCATTTAAAAGTAATCGTATTGATACTTTATGTAGTGTAAGAATCATAAAGCTGAAAGTGTGTGTACGTCTCACTTACTCTGAACTAGTGATTCAGCACTCTAAAATAGACATTTAAGTTACAATGTAAAGCTTATCTGCGGTTTCTATTATTACCGCTAAGTACCAAGTTTGTTACCGATCGTAAAAGTGTCTTCGATCATGTGAACATTTACGATGATCTTGTAGACTTTGACGACAAACTCTTTTAGTACTTTATTTCCACTACTAACCTATAATAAATATTAGAATATGTCACTAGAATCCGTTTTAATTTGTAATCCAAACTATTAACTATCTAATATGTTTTTCCTGTATCTCTGAGCGTGTACCACTTAAAAACTTCGTTGTTTTATATTAATTAAAATGTCTATATTCATATAATCAATTCAGTAAATATAACGATACTTACTATTTTTATTCCATTCACTTATTAGGTTATTATAATTGTATGTGATCACCATTTTTAAAAATTTCGTTATTCTGTATAACTTTAACGTTTTATTAAGCATTTAATTTTATTAATATATTTTATATCGTTAGTCAAATAAAAAAAATTGATTTGACTAACGACAATATATAACAATACTAGCGAGTCAACCTCGCTTCGCTCGGGTTCGTCCCTACTTACTTCCCAATACAAACTATCATCCCCATTTTCACCTCCTTCGGCGATGATTACCAGGATAAAAAGTAGCCTATGTCGTTCCACGGTCTCAAACTATCTTCTTACCAAATTCCATCTAAATCGGGTTAGTAGATCCAGAGATTACTCCCTACAACCTCACAAACTCACAAATTCACAAACTCAGAAACTTAACATTACAAATACAATGTTGTTAATACCCTGTACTAGTTGGTGAATCACTTTTTCTTTGAAGAGCAGCTGTATCGATCAAAGTTAAGTATCCTTATGAATTATTTTTTAATGTTTGCATTCAAATAATAAATTATAACAATTAAGCCGATGAATTAGAATAATATCATTACCATTATTTTGCTGATATATTTCGTTGGTTACATTTGAATTATCACAGTGATTATTATACCCATTTAAACGACACGTGTTATAGTTTCCATTTGACTCATTTATCTAAATCTCCTATTTACTTGCCTAAGCACATAGGGCCGCACGGCGCGTACGCATGATTTTATCCCCAGTTAACATAATGGGGAATAATTTTGCTATTTTCTCCCGATAGATGTCGCAATCACTATGATACTCAGTATATTGTAAAGCTCTATAGTATGGACGGTTTTTTTTTTCATTTTATTTAGAATTTAATTAAAATTACAAATTGTGCAGTGCAGTGCCAAGATGCAAAGAAAATGGATACCATTTGTTCCCAAAAGACAAAAAACTGAAGAAATTGTTAGCTAAAGCAATAAGACGATCAAAATTGGCGAAATCACAATCTTTATATTTAAGGCAGGGTGGACACCATTTTACAGAAAGTGTTTTTAAAACTGTCAAATCGTGTACGGGTCAATTTTTAATTTTTATTGTTTTGTCTTTTTTACTACTATTGGACTTTAACAGATACATAATATATAACATCGCGTCATCTAGCGGGAGAGATGGCAAAATTCTTCCTCATTCCCTTTAATGTACATTGTTTGTGATCATAATGTTTCATGTGTAATAGTTAGACATAAATAAAGCTAAATAAAAAAATTAGTTCCGGTATTTATATTTATCTGATATATTTTTACATAATGCTGGCAACATAAATTAATTATTATATTATAATGGCGGGTAAACTTTAGTTATTAAAGTTTACTTACATTTTGTTTTTGAGGTTTGAATAAGCCTCGCTTTGATATATTGCTTAGATATACTTTACGTAACGAAAATATATTTTGAATCCACATTTGAAAGTAAGTTCTTGTTACTCATCATGCAACTCTATCCATTAAAAAAAGTTTATTACGGAGTTTATTATTATTATATGAGACTATGCTATGGGAATCCTGTATAAATACATACGGACGTTTTTAATAATTATGATGTAATGTAGATGATATCATGATTTTTACCGTTATTTCAGTATACTTAAGTTACTATATGAGATACTCTTTCGCATACTGCAGTCGACGACATAAAAGAAAAGGATAGGAAAAGTACATATTTTTACACAGAGTGCGTCATCTTTTACGAAGTATACATTTATAATTCGACTTGGGATAATATTGGGCATTCTCGATTTTTATTAAAAAGTTAAGTTAAAGTGTCGTGTGTTTAGAATGTACCTATAGTCTAAAAATGAAGACTGTGTACAATAAATTCTATAAATACTTAAGGAATGTAGAAATTAAATTAAGTCGTTTGTAAAAATGATAACTTATACAATAGAACGGTCAAAACCTACTTCATTTATTTTAGTGTTGGAGTAAGAAAGAGCCGTATTTGGTTATTTAACAATAGAATTTTCAAACAAAGCATTTAAAGAGCAAGCAAGTGGTCGAGTATATCTTTTTATTCATGCGTGCATATTGATATTTACGTCAAAATCTTTTTTCCAGGAGAAATTAAACATCACTTTAATATATAATCTGTTAAATCAAGAAAAATAAATACTGAAATATTTTTCTATGTTTTTACTTAAATGTCTACTACAAAATACACGGAATAAATGCTAAATATATTTATTCAATTTCAACAGAAGAAAGATGCGAATCGCCGAACCGCCCAAGTCGTGTACACCCGTCCGCAGTATTTTAAAATGAGAGACACTTTTTATATTCTTAGCATATTTTTAAAAAGTCGACGTCGTGTCGTTCCAAGCGTATTAATATGCGTCCTTAAACACCCCTTACATGAATAATTAGATGTTTCCTGGATTTATTCTCTACCTTATCTGTAAAACACGCTTTTAAATTTGCAAACTCATTCTTTTCGCCTTATTGAGGATAATACATCTCAGCTCCGTTGCGATTCTGATTAATGCCTTCGACTAGACTCGACGCAACTTTGTCAGAGATAACGGCGAAAAATAATGGGACGTGACTCGGCTAATTCGGTTTTTACAAGGAGAAGGTGAACAAGAATTTGATAAGATTTTATTTGAATAAGTTTATAACTAAAATATTTAAAGACTAGCATTGCCCGCGGCTCCGTCCGCGTTCAGATGATCAAGAACCAAATTCTTAGGTTTTACATACCTGTTAGTATACTCTTACATTGCAGGTTTCGTATTTTTTCTCAAAAATGAGATATTTTCCAGCGGTTCAAAGTATCCTATATGTTGACCCGGATAACCAGCTATTATCATACCAAATTTTATTAAAATCTGTCCAGTAATTTTTTCGTGATGCAGTAACAGACAGACAGACAAAAATTCTAAAAACTATAGATTCGGAGTCTGTATCGAGAATAATGTCTATTTCAATTAGATTTTCCAAAAAATATTTAATGTAAAGATTCGACTTAGTTACAATTTTATTTAAATGTTTATTTTTTTTAATTAAACTCTTTGTCGTTCTTGAATACCAGGAAAATTCATCGGAAAAAAGAAAATGAAACATTCTTCTTTTAAAACATTAAACGCCAATGTCAAACTTTCTCATAAATCTGTGTGAGATCTAGAGTTTGAATTGAAAATATGCGTATTGCATTATTGTTTGCAGCATATGCTGGTGAGACTCTTTCTTATTATATATTTTAAATTTAAATATTTGGAAGCTTACTAATATTATTATTTTTGTAGGTATAGTTCTGGCCTTAGACAATGAAAGTACTGATAATGGAAATGTAGTAAATCGTGGTACATTCCCTTATATGGTAAGTATTTTAGGTATACAATATGTACAACTACTTAGTAGGCCTAGTTCCATCTAAAAAGATGATTTACTGTAGCGTCCGGTAGTTTGCATTTCCACTCATGGCAACTACTTATAATAATATTTATATATAGGACTATATATAATAGGATATATTAATACGTGAAGCAAAAACTTTGTAGGTACCCCTTATTTACAAAAATTGCGCGGACGGCGGAATATGAAATTTCCCACACTTATAGTTCATATAAAGGAGTGCAGAATGTTAATATTTTTTACAATTATGCATAAAAAATACATTAAATACACACTCGCATACATACTCTTTAGTTTATTGTTAAAGTCTGTGGTCAAATTGAGAATTATGTGTTACTACGTGAAGCAAAAACTTTGTATCCCATTTTAATAAAATTCAATAATAATCATGGTCGAAGTTCGACCACTCGGCGAACTCTAGTATATTATATAATATGAATATTATTAGATATTCAATTTAAATAGTCACTATATATTTTAATATTAATATAATATTTTTAACAGGCATTTTTGTACTATCCGGATGATTCCGTCGTTGATGAAAAAGGTGTCAGGATTACCAAGAGTGCAGTATTAATTCAAGAAAACTGGCTAATATCTTCTAGTTTTGTGGATGCAAACACTTCTAATGATTTTCCTAAGAAAACTCTTTTGGCAAGGCTTGGCGCTATTAGCATTGATAACAATTTTACTCTAAACGAAGATGAAAATGAGCAAGAGCGCGAAGTAAGACATCCATACATATAATAAAATTGTAACTGAGTCAAATCTGTACATTAAATATTTTTTTAGAAAATCTTATTAAAATAGTCATTATTATCGTTATAGAGTGCGATTGTATAGTTTTTAGAATTTTTGTCTATCTGTCTGTGACCGCATCACCGAAAAACACTGACGGGATTTTGATTAAATTCGTTATGATGATAGCTGATTATCCGGGTTAACATATATGATACTTTTTACTGCCGGAAAATATCTCATCACTGAGAAATCTATACTAAACGTTAAAACATAAGTAAGGATGAACCCGAGCGGAGCGAGGGTGAATCGCTAGTTTAAAATAAAATAATTGTAATAAATTAATTAGCCCTTTAACATTTGCATACTTGAACGTATCTCCAATTTCTTGATATAATGATTTCAATTTTCAGATCATTCAAATAGCACGTCCTTATAATTTTAATACGACACTATGGTGGTACTCTGATATTTCTTTACTCAAAACCTTATTACCTTTTGTAACAACACCAACAGTTTCCGTAGTACCAACAATATCCAAAAATAGTGACTTATTTGAAATGTCTTGTTATGTACTTCTGTATGTAGTAAGTAATATAATGTTTCTATTTCCTTCACTTTCATTATAACGTAGCACACAAAATGAGCGATTTATATTTTTAACAGCGTATTGCTAATACAACTGCCGAAAGGACTCTAATGAAAAGCACAGTTGATCTTTTGGAAGCTTCGTTGGACAAATGTGGAAGTAACTTTAAAAATGATACCATGTTTTGTGCCGCACCTAGTGATGAAAAATCTGCCATCTTCAATGATTCAAATTTCTGTGAGGTATGACATTTTATCAAATATCTCTTCATTTATCATTTCTATAAATTGTTGTAACAAAATATATTTTTTCAGGGTAACAGGGGTGGACCACTTTTGTGTGACAATGAATTAACTGGAATACAAACATACATTAATGATTGCCAACAGCCTTACCTATACCAGCGTTTGAGTGCTTGGGAAAATTTACTATCTTGTGCTGTACAAGAAAAATGTCTCGAGGAGCAATGCTCTACGATTTGTTTTTTGATAAACAAAGATACTACGACACTGATGGCTGTAACTACCGATAAAGATAATGATGTTATGTTCGATAATGAATTTAAAAATAATGCTAGTACAACTAATACTGATACATCTATCATACCAACACTTACTACTACCATTACTACTGTTACTACTACTACTACAGAAGCAACTACTGTAAAAGACACAACATTATCAACGACAATTGTAACAAAATCTAAACGACCTGCTGGTAAGAAGGCTACTTTAACACATAAGACGCCTAGAATAGTTGAATATACTGCATCTGTAACAACAGAAATTGTAGATACTGATAATGAAGATATAGCAGTGCGTAAGACTGTTGTTCAAGCTCAAAATCACAAACTACATAGTAAGGCATCATTTAAAATATTTAACTTGATACCATACTTCACGTCAGTTACCCTAATAATAATGTACTTTACATAGATATATAATATTATTTGTTAGTTATTTAACAATTTCTATGCTCAAAACCTTTAATATTGTGGTTTTTTGTTAATGTACTGTTAATGATACTTTACTCAATTTATCTAATAATATATTTAAAGCTTATCTTTCGCTCAATTTTGTAATACTGTAATTTGTAGTTGTTGTTTTTTTTTTGCAATAGTATAACATGGTATCCGACCCTCGGCTTTACAGCACTTTAGGGTTCATTATCAGGATAAACTATCAAATCACATCGGAATTAAAATTAAATTTTACACGAATCCGAATGTCCACCTTAGAGTGGCTAAGTGGGATAACCCCTCGAACTTTCCCACTAGGCAGCTTGCTACAGACTGAGAAATAACTCTACTAATAAGTAGGAATGACTCCAGAGTCTAAACCTGACCCATAGGATACCTACATATACATAAATATTTTAAACCTAGATTTTTTACTAAACTAGACCAATGAAATCTCTGCAAAAATTGTATGTTTAAATAAAACATGATACTAATTTTTAGCGTATTTTAATTTTATTGTTATTCTTTATACTTATCTAAAAGTCTTTCATTATATTTTCACTTATATACTATAATATCTATCCACCAAAGTCGCAAAAATCGCAACTCTTCGCACTCGTCTGGACAGTATTTTCTGGGTTACTTTATGAAATACTAGCAGAACCCGCGGCTACGTCCGCGTTCAATCTAGTAAAAAAACTCTTTGGGTCAAACAGTGACTCACTATCGCTTCGCTCGGGTTTGTCGCTATTTATTTATATGATATAGTTCATACAAAAATATTAAAATTGCGATTAAAACATGGATGAAAAGTACTTTACGACCAATTCTCATATCTGTGTGTAGTGTGACCACAGACACCGTGACACGAGATTTTTATATATTAGATAAATATTTCAGTAGGTAATAAATGTTTATTATCGGACTACTACTACAAATGCGAAAGTATGCGTGAAATTTAAGTTAGCGTAAAAATTTTAATTATTTACCAATTAATAACACTACGAAAGTCAAAAAGTAAGTAAACACTAGGTACTAGATTAAAACGTCTGGATGAAGAAATAAAACTTTACAAGGATATTTTTTGAAGACAGTTGCCATGGCAATGGCCATTCTATTGTCTCCGTGGCATCGCACACGAAACTCAGTGCGGTTGCCATAAATTGAGCGGTAGATCAGGCTTAGATGTCAGATATTTTTCATTCTACTATATAACTAGCGCATATCATAATTTAAAATAAACAGCAGAGTGACACTAGTAGAATGGCTGAATAAAGTTGGGTTATTTTGAATCTGTAAATAATTTTAAAGCTTTTTTAGAAATAGATTAGAAGTTATCTATACATATTATAATAAAATTGTAACTGAGCCGAATCTGTACATTAAATATTTTTGGAAAATCTGATTGAAATAAACATTATTATCAATACACAGGCCGAATCTATAGTTTTTAGAATTTTTGTCTGTCTGTCTGTTACCGCATCACAGAAAAACCACTGGAGGGATTTTGATGAAATTTGGTATGGTATCCGGATCAACATATAGGATACTTTTTACCGCGCGAAAATATCTCATTTCTGAGAAAAAATACAAAAACTGCAATATAAGAGTATACTAATATGTAAAACCATAGAATTTGGTTTTTTGTCATCTGAACGCGGGCGGGGCCGTGGGAAATGCTAGTAATAAAATAAGAATGGCAATGGGGAAGGAGGGAGACTAAGTTTCACGTGTACATAACGTTGAGTGTATAAAAATAACGTAGATGTTAGCCTGTTAGTATGTTAGCTAAGAATCCCATACTAGCCAAGTTACATTATTCTAAAGTCGTAATTTTTTTTTAAAGTAAAATTGATTTACAGAATATACGTTAAATATCTTTTGAGGTACTGGATAATTTTAATTACGATCGCTTAAATTAAATTTGATTGCTAAAATAATAATATGAAACACGAATTTATTTTTGAAAATAGTAATGTTAGTATTGCGAAAACGTAAAACAAATATTTTAGTACGTAAATATGTTAGTAATAAGAACACAATAATCGGCGGTACTGAATGCCTCGATACACGAGTCAAAATCATACTCACTCATTCATTGAAAAAAAAAAGATTCCGACGAATTAAGAACCTCCTCCTTTTTGGAAGTCGGTTAAAAATCATTACAGCCATCAAATTAACATAAAGCCAAAGAGGTTTTTTTTGTAGTTTCAACGTGAGCGAAGCCGTGGGTACAGCTAGTCAGTTATAAAATTTAAATACTTTGTAAAATAATACAATATATACAAGGATTCCTCAATACGGTCTGGAAACTTGATAATGCTATTAGAGCAAACTGCGGAGGCGTTAAGCTTGCAACCTTACTTAATTCTACTTATTCGAAAACTTTCTCAGCTATGCCGGAACATCTTCTACCGTCTAATTTACCAAGCATTCTTATACTCTCATACTTATTATTTTAATATATGGATTTAATAAAATTTTAATCGATGAATTTACAACATATATACAAAGGTCCTCACTGCTCAAGTAAAGTTTTTAAAAAGCAGCTTTTTTTGATATTTATAGAAACATATTTTTTTTAATTCCTTTTCAGTATTTGACATGCTCAATAAGTTTCTTTCATGTCACTTTCGTTTGTTCCGTAGAGTCGATACGTACGAATGGTAAGATTTCATGTTTGTTTTTTAGTTGTAAGGTACACTCATGACTCAAGAGATTCTTTTATCGTTATGGGTATAATACTTATTAAACTGCCTCGGTGGTGTAGTGGCTAGCATGTACGGCTGCACACCCGGAGTTCCTGGGTTCGAGTCCCGGGTCGGGCCAAGTTTAGTTATCGAGTCTTTCTGTATAGTAAGTCTCAGTAACAGCCCGGAGTTGGGAAGTTGGTGGTGTTTCACCCCCGTGCCTCGGAGAGCACGTAAAGCCGTCGGTCCTGCGCCTTAACTCTCACCGGTCGTGTCGAGCAGTCGTCCCACCGGAATATGAGAGTGACAGGAATAGAGAGTGCACTTGTGTCTGCGCGTACACTTGAGCACTATAATATCTCCTGCGCAGTTGGCTAATCTCAATGAGATTGGCCGCCGTAGCCGGAATCGGCTAGGAGAACATCATCATCACTTATTAAATGTTTTCATTTATTAAATAGTTACTAGTAATAATTGTTATAAACGTATACTTTTCTGTATTCAATTAACAGCTTCTACAGTAAACCTGACTTGACTATAATCATTAATATTAATATATTTAAAATAATTTCAATAATATATAAGTATCTTTGACAATATTATCTTCGAATGCAAGGGCGTAGCAATTTATAAGTGAATTTTCTTCCCAAGTTCCCGGCGCAATAGAGTCAGAATGTATCTTAATACGATTCGATGTGTTTAAATTCCAAACGGGGATCGCATCGGAAAACTGTTATGCATATTTTAAAGTTAAATTTACTTACAACGGACTCACTGCGCCGAATGAGAATTCAACGTGAATAGCTCTTTACGAAGTTAAAATGTTTTATGATATTACACAGACGTGATAAGTGAGGTTTAAAATTTAAGATGGTTAAATCTATTCTACTTTAAAATATAAAAAAGCTAACTTTTATATATGAACACGTATTTTATAGCTTCTAGTACGTAAATTAAATATTTTCATGGTTTTCCGATTACTTCACTTTCATTAAAATCCCAAAATACCATTATGTACTATTTAGTTGACTCTTATATTAATTAGACATACATAAATGTAAAAGTTTATAAAATTCAATTAAAGATCAAATTACTAATTTTTATACTAATATATTTAAAACCCTAAGAAAATATAAAATGAATATATGTATGTCCGTTTAAGTATTTTAAAGCTTGCCATGGTTATAAAAGATAACATTTAATCTATCGAACATTAATCTAAAAAATGTCCAATAATAATTAGTATAAGAAATGTCCAATTTAACAACAACCGCTCAACAACTGCAAGTATATCTGGATATATACTGACAACTCGATGTGAAATGTCTACGCCAACAGTACAAAGCTTTGTGCAACGCCTTCAAAAATTAATATAGCAATATATGACACGAATAGCTTTGCCGTGGAAAGTTATTAATTTTACTTTGTTCTTGTTTACAAAATAAGAGTTGGAACAAAGGTATTCTGAAAAATTTCAGCAATTAACACTGACGGCAATGAGTTAGCAAACAAAAGGAATTAATTCAACAATCTCATAAAAAGAAATAAGCAGTTCATAAAACTTTTAATAATTAAAACTCAAATAAAAAAGAGAGCTCCCTAGATAGATAATACCAGCTCTATAAGACATTCTGGGTCTCCCCTTCTTCTTTATATTAAGGCGAAAAATACTTCATTTAACAATTGTAAGGGCTCTTGTTTAGCTGGTCACGGTCTTGGAGTCATTTTCATGGGTAAATCCCTAGAAGGGTGTGAGCAGTGTTGATCATTGTTAAGTTATTCTGACTGCCAATAGGAGACTGTAAATGGGAAAAGGGCTCATAAAATTAATAGCTCTCTTATTTATTAAAAAGTAAAATTCACAATTAGTTACATTCTTAAGTGCTTTCTCGTTGTTCTAGAAGATAAGGTTTATTATTGAATAAAAAAACAATGTTGGATATATTTCATGACACTTATATTTTTTTTAAATGAAAATAATCTTAATATGAGTCGGACTCATTCAAAGAAAAGTTAGTATTTCGTACCCAAAGGATCGAATCCTATTATTTCTATGCGATCCATTCATTTCTCAGTATCTAGTACTATAGTATTATATGATCTGTGCCTATATTTAAACAGCTGTTCTTTTGGATCGTAAGCGAATAAAAATTTTACAGGCGACGTGCAAACATAATGGATAAGAACGATTTACATCAAACTTGTATCATCAAGGATTCTGTACATTTGGATAACAAATTTTAATTATATCGTTCAGTAATAATACTTTCTTAGATTTGACACT